GTTATAGATAGTTATACAATACTTTAAATAAATACTTATAACAAAAATACTGATGACAGACCATAATATCGTAACTACTCTCTATGCGTAAAAACAATTTTAAACAATATGAAATACAACCACTGAACGGGTACATACGGAAATTACGAATCACGATAACTACTATATTATGTATAATAGTACTTCAACGCAATTCCTTTGTTTCCATATTCAATGTAATTCACAATTCACGTGAAATAAAAAAACCTAAAAAAAAAACTAAAAACCTTTATGTTTTCGAGTATTGGTCATAATAAAAATACCTGTGTGTCTGTATACGCAGTAAAGTAATAGGTATTTGATTCGGTACTATAAAATTTAATATTTATTTAACTTGATAAATCATCATAAAACATTTGATGAAAATTACAAATATTTAAGATTATTTATTTTTAAGTTAGATAAATTTAAAAAAAAAACAAAATCGATCGTGTCAATTACGATACAATTTTTGCATAAAATTTCCTGTTTTACCTTAAATTGTTGTTATTTTTTTTTTCTATTGTTTTAAAAAATATTAGGAATTTTTTATATTGACCCAATTAAAGTAAAAATAAGAAGATGCAATTTGCTATCAGGAACTATCCTCAAAGTTGAAAATTCTAGCATTTTATCGACTAGGTACTTATTATTCTTAAATTTTTTTAGCCAAAATTGTTCATTAGTAATAGGCCAATGAAATAAAAATAGAAACTCTACATATGTATATAAACGTATAGTTCATAATGTTTTTTCTTTGTGATTAAATTAAGTACTGGTTGAGTGCGCGCCATTCAGTTTTCATAAAATGTTTTAGTTACACCTTAAAAAATTGATTTTGTTATTATAAAAAAAAGATTGAGCCTAATTTTTATCATGTATACATCTATGCTAGTACGAGTGGACCCAGAGGATGATTTGTGAGGTCAGCTGACCCACAGTTTTTTTCTGAGGTTAATGTGGCCCCTCAAAATGACAAACTACATAAAAAAAATTTTATTTGAAAAAAATATAAACAATAATCAATATAAAAATTAAATTATATAATAATAATTTTTTAAATATATACAAGCTCAAGAATGTTCCTATGAAAATTTAATTATGATGTTTAAGTATAGAAATAATAAACATATAATGTATATGTATATTATAAATTATGGTGTATTATAGACGTGAAGACTGAATATTGAAGTATAAATAACGCGTACGAAATCGGGCTTTAACTCATCAACTTAAATAATGAACCTAAATCGGAAAACACAATACATGTGGCTGTGATACGGCAATACGGGTCTTTACAAAACATAACCAATACTGTTGTTTATATAAATATAAAATATTGCATAATAGTACTTGAAATTTCTTAACTCTTAAGTATATCATTATATAAAAATATGATGATATGCAAATTTTATTAATTCAAACAGCCGACTACCGTTTTAATAAAAATATTATAACTATTGTATAAAATATCCTAGACTGACTAATCGTTTTCGCTCAGAATTAATTAATGCATTATTTTCTGTATTGGATTAGAATCTAGAACCAACTTTTCTAGATCACATATCTATTGTGAAATTGAAAACAGTCATTGAAAACTAAATTAAAATAAATACACCTCAAATAAATGTATACAAATAAAATAGTAAATATGTATAATCCCTTATTCTTAAAATTATTTAAAGACTCCAGATAAATTTATTAATTGAATATATATTTTAATGCAACAATTAATTAATAATACCTAAAGTTTGTAAGTAAGTTTAAAATTTTACATAGTTATATTGAATGTTGGTATAAAAATATAATATAAATACCTAACTAATAAAAATAATTGCGAGCATCCTGAGTACGCTACTATATGTTAGGTATAAACTATGCTCTTCGATTATTCTATTAATTATTTATTTCATTATTCATATTTATATCATAAAACAATATATTATCTATCATATTTTTTGCAGGTCAATGAAGTTAATTTCGAGTCAACTCCAGAGTTCCAGTCTCCAGACATAATTATTTAGTATCATAAATTATAGTTATATTTTTAATCATACTTTACAGTGAATTAACTATACATGTACCCTATTCTAGTTTACGATAAAATATTCACTATTTTAAATTTTGGTAGAAACGGTGTAAACTAATATAATAGATACAAAAATATCACAACATATAAAAATAATAAGTCGTTTGTTTGGTTCAATCAATTTTACGAATATGTATAATAAAAATATATAAATAAATAATAATAAAGAAAAACTTACAATTGTAAAATACAGATTGATCAACTGGTCATTGCCTAGGTAATAATTTAAAATACTAGTACTCGCATATACGCAATTATAATACATAATTACAAAGGTGACTTGAGCCATGGTAATTTGTTGTTATCCGATTGCGAGTTCTCGATTTTTTAGAAAATTGTACGTTTATGTCTGCAGATGAAGATTTTAGATCCTTTTGGTGATATTATGTTTGACAATGATTTGCTTTGAAATTGGCGGGACTCGCATATTAATTATAATAGATCTTATATTATATACCTAAGGTCTATCTACGATTAGATAATGTAATTGTATGATAAGCCAGCTAAATGCCTTACTACGGGGAAGCGCTTGTGTTTAGAGAATTCGTATAGAAATAGGACATTGAAAATTGAAATGCTTGGGTAGTCAAATACATTAATATATAATACTATTTCACTATAGGTACACAATAGTATAAGATTAATTTTAAGCTATTGCTTATTCATAATTTAAACCTACCATATTTCTAATAGTAAAATGAATCACTTTAATAATTAATAGTTAATAACAACATAAATGTATGACAATAATATATTTTATTTAGTATTTTAGTAATGTACGTAAGTTGACAGACCGTTTCCACTCAGAATCGTTTTTTACAAGCAATTATTTCATAATATTTGTAAATTAATTCAAATTTAATGCATAGATTACTGTGACCAGTGTGACCTTCCCAATGACAAGGTATGTCCGACTCTTACAATACATACGCAAACAATTACCTTCTTTATCGTTTTATCTTCATTAACTAGCTATGGACTATGGTTAATTTCCTGTACCAAGTTCCATAGTCCATACTATAGTTGCTTTTCTACTAAGTTTATATATGAGTAAATGACTAATAGTAAATAAAAATCGCATTCATATTTATTATTTATTTATGTGCATTACAATGAATACAATTGTATTATATGTTAAATTGTCTATTTTTTAAATGTATATTTTCTACCTATATAAATTAAAAAATACAACATATTTTTCAAAAGGTATTAAGAATAGTTAAATTTGAGAATTGGTTCTTCTTCCAATTTGCCTCATTTAATAAAACATTTCTTAAGACTAGTCTAATATATATTTATTGGCCTTATACTCAATAAGGTTAATATTCTATACAGGAGAAATTGAGTGTGTCTCGTCATTGAGTGGGATGTGGATCACTGATTACTGTAATGATTCTGTTAAATTTGAATTCATTGATAAATAATAATTGTATATGAAAAACAATTACAAACGGAAATTATTATTCTTATTAGATTATAAAGTTTATAGCTAAAATACTACATATATTATAATAATTTATTTTAATATTCATATAGAAATATAGTAGATAAAATATTTATAAAAAAAATAGGTAATACCAAATAATTAATCTAAGTATTGAATTATTGAAAATGTTGTTGTATATCTATAGTACAAAATATAATGATATAAACAAAAATTTAAAATTCTCACAAAAATATTTTTTCACCAGAATAAAATAACTGAAATTGTTAGTTTTTGGTTAAATATCAATTTTTTCAAAGTTGAACTCAAAAAGCTTATAAAAACATAAGTTTATTTTTTTAAATTTTTAAGCCTTGTATTATATTTTCAAACTTTTTGGTAGTATGACATATTTTTGATTAATAGAAAACAAACTAAAATTTTAGTTATTTCAAAATAATTAAAATTCTTACTTTTGCAAACAAAATACTAAAAAAATTACCATATTACTAAAGTAATTGTTTCAACATTCGAATATTGATATAAATATTAAAGCTTGTTACCTATATTTTTCCACATCACTATTTGAAACTTTCTTTAAAATGGTATTAGTATATTATATTAGTATGAACAGAGTTTATTATTTTTTGACAAATGAGAAGTTTTTAAATTAAATCATTTAGATTATGATTCAATTATCTATATTAAATTCTTCAAAATATATTGGATTTTTAAAAATTATACATTATTCGTTATCATCTAATATATAATATATTTTTCAAGTTTAATAATAAAATTGTATTTTTAAAGGTCATGAGTTATGTACTAATATTTGTAATTATGTGAGCTAGACTATTAACATTTCTTTTTACAAAAAACAAACAATATGTGTAGTAATTAATTGTTAAAATTTATTTTAATGTGATATTTTATAATACACATAGGTCATTGATAATCTAATTTTGTTCACAAAAAAAAAAAATAATAAATAAATAAAAATAAAACTTAATCTCTGGGATGCTATAAAAAAAAAAAAAACCTTAATCTTAACTAAAATAAATATAATAATATATAATGATTGCACAATACAATTAATAAGTCTAAACATGTATCATAAAATTATAGTTAAATTCTATGTCATGTAAATACTTTTGTATAAAATAATACTGTTATGTTACTAATAATACTGCTTGACAACATATAGCTACTCTTAACATTAATCAAATAACATAATGTTACATTTATATTCTAGACTCAATTTATTAATGGCAATTTATTATCATGCAAAAAATGCAATAAATTATTTTAATCGAGTATAAATAATAACTCTTAATATAAATGTGGAGTAAAATAACAATTCACTACTAACCATTCTGAGTATTAAATTTTAAAAACATGGAATGTAAAATAGCATATTATAAAAAAAAAAAAAATGTATTATTAAACACAAATTAAATCTAAATTGAAAAAAAAAGTTCATAGACATTTACATAGATTTAATGATTACAATCATAATCACTGGGGAGTTCTTGAAGTGTGATAAAATTCATTAAAAAGGTTCTAGGAAAGTATTTGTACGCAAATACAAAATAAGTAGTAACAATTTTTTCGATAAATTGATATGCATACAATAACTTATCGAAGTAATAGATGTATAGATATTAAGTACATTATAGGTTGAAATGTATCAAGTATTATATAATAATAGTGTGTAGGTTGTAAAAATCTATTTTAAAACTTGATTCAATTTAAAGCCGTCACATAAGATTCCATAACCAAAAAGGAATGGTTGAGCAAAACTCTTTTCAAACCCTCAACGAAGTACCCATTATTTGAAATCACAGAGTCTATAATGTGCGATGATCATAGTCCATTTTAAATCGTTTCTTCCGGCAATGCATCGGGATTTCCATCGCCATTGATACCATTGCAGTGCTCGGGGCTGCTGACCACGTGGCCGACGGCTTTTTGTTCGTATCTCTCTGCAAAGTCCGTGTCCATGGAACGTATGCCGCTCAGGAAGCTGTCTTTGTCGTCGTCGGACCACGTCTGGACCCACTCGGTGAACAGCTTGATGCGACACTTGAACAGGCTGAGCGGACGGCCTTCCTCTTTGCACAGGGTTTCCATGATCGCCGGCAGGCCGTTGGCGGCGCCGCTGTTGCTCCCGAACCCGTGAACCAGCACCGGTAGGAAGTCGCCGCGTTCCATTTCGCTCCACTCGCCGAACCACTGCAACATGTAACGGACCTGCGCCACAACGGTCGGTGTGTACGCGCTACCATTTGCGTTGGCCACTACCATGATGAAAGTTATTTCCGTTTGAGCGCTGACGAGTGATCAACAAAATCGATGTAAAACCGTCGTCGGAATTGAAATAATATAATGTCAAACGGTGTCCTCCACGGCTGTCCGTGTCATTAACTGGCACCGAAACGACGTCGTTTCAAGTTTTCGTGCGTTACGGTCTCGGCGCGGCAGCGTTAATTATCGGTTACGACAGGCACCATAGCAACGACAGTTTTACAGCTCTACGAGAAAAGCGGCTGAAAATTTCATGTACAACGCGCAAATAGAGGCACCTACATAATATTTTTAATTTTTTTTTTAAAACCGACGCGACGACGATTGTACCGTAGATTTCACAACTACGGTATACACACGCGTATACGTTTACACGATTATTATTTGATACGGTTATCTTATCTCATCGGCCGACAGCGAGTCGTCTGCAATGTTGATAATAATAATTCATTCCGTACATGACGGCCGACGACAAAATATGCCGATAATAAGTGATAATAAATCGTACGTTACGGTTGTTCGGCGTGATATATAGCAACTACGACTAAAGTACATTACAACCACGGACGTACTGGGACAATCAGAGCGCTTGAATCAGACTGATTTTTTCGATATTAAAATCTTAGCCATTTTGTAATCGCCATCAAGAGTGTTCTGAATTTGTATGAAAAATTTCAAATTATTTATTATTTATAATGTTGACAACCGTTCAAAAATATATCTATCTGGATTAGGTAAATAAATATGAAAAAAATTTTGAATTTAGAATGTTGAGAAGCTCATCATTGATCAGTAATATAAAAAAAAAAAAATCAAAGATGACTTCCAAAGATGCAATTGAAGATTATTTATATTTTTTAATTACCTGTTTTTTTTTTTTTATTATTATTATTTAGTATTTACTTCAACTATTATTTGCTAGGTATATTTTTAACTTATGAGTTAATTTTCTTAACTATAAAACTAGGTATTTATTTTATTTTATTATATTTAGGTAAAAATTCTAAAAGGTTTTTAAATTTACTTTGTTGTTTTTTAAAACAAATATATCTTTTCTAGTCATTATTCAAGTTTTTAATCGAATAATATCTTGGCGATTTAAAAAGTATTTCTACTTATCAACAATTTAAGTCTATTAAAAGTATCGAAATAATAAGTTTTTATTTATTTTTTTTTTTTAACTAAAATATTTGAACTTGAAACTTTATAATGTATTAGCCATTAGGTATATGTTATGTTAGGGCAACAAATTCATATATTTGCAGAATTTTTATGTGATATTTTTTCAGATCATTGTGAAAAAATGAATGTCAAAATATATTAAGTTACCAAGAACGATGCTATAATAACAACTTGTATAGTTGTATGTCGACTCAATAGTTAATACGTGTTAAGTAAATACCTAGTAGTTTTTATAGGTACGATGAAATAACAACAGTCAATAGATAATTATATTATTAATGTGTATCGCGGATTCATGTTCCAAAATCCAAGATCAATCATAAAATATGTTTCATGAAGTCTGATTAACAATGCGAATTATTAAAGCGCTAATATGTGCATATTTTGAAAGTTTTTTGAAAGTTTTTGAAGCATAGGTATTTAACAATTTGAAAGTTAGAAAAGATAAACAATATATTGAATGTCTATACACACGATAAGTAAGTAATTCCTAAAAATAGAACTCTTAAAAAAATAAATGTATTAAATACCTACTAAACTATTTCTCCTCAATAAACAGTCCAAGTTTTTTCATATTTTTTAGTTTTTTATAATAGTTTTATTTCAAATTAATTTTTTTTTTTTTTTTTGATGTTGACAAATATTTAGGTCCATATAAGGAATGATAAGTATATTTTTTAGGTAATATTTTCAGTTTTAGACGTTCTAAGTTTATTTAAAATAAAATACATTGATACTTGCAGTAACTAAAAATTAAAATCACTGTATAATCTAATTAATCGTCTACTTTATTATTGTAGCACCAGTACTTGACTTCCAAGTCCTGGTAATTTAAAATACTTTTTACGCGTATCGCATACGGACTGACATTAAAGTTGCAACCAGGTATAACTCTAAACTCATTTAGCTTTAAATTTAAATTCATAATCTTTTAAAAATAAAAACAAAACATTTTTCTCTGGTTTTGATTTGTAGCTCAGTTAACAGTGTACAGCTAAGATAATGATGGTATGTTATATTGTAATATCGCGTATCAATTTTAATTGAATACAATTTATATAGGTAATATTATATAAATTTGATGAAAATTGCAGGACTATATAGACCTTCATGTTATAATATAGTCAAAAAGATTATAGGTACATCTTGTCAATTATTTCATAAATTATACTGACATTTAGATATAACAAAATTGTCACTTGAGTGTTTATTAATAGCTTCGATATTTAAATGAGAACAATAAAGTTTAATATATAGGTAATATATATTATTAGTGTAACGCACTAGACAAGTTAAATAAATGTAATCATAATTCTTTTCAAATATCTATACCATACCTAATCTACAAATTATTGTACATTTTAATTGGACTTCCGGTTTTATAATCTTATGAAAAGACAAGTTAATTTTCATCACTGAAAAGGGCTAAAATAATTTATTTTTGGAAATATTAATTTAGAAAACCGATTAAATGATCCCATTTCCAGTTATCTCTTTAATATGCATTAGACGCATTACATAAAAGTTTACCGATTACAGTTAATGAAGTTGTAGACGAAATACTGGCTTCTGAAAAATGGCGATTGAATTTTGCACTTTAATAATATTATAATGTAATAAGCTAAAGAATTTTCATTCAGCTTTGAATTTTGTATGAGCAGGTAATAGGTACGCCTAATATTATAATAAATAATGTATTTATTTTAAAATTTTATACTTAATAATTACCTATGCTACGAATTAATGTGTAATGTTTGGATCCTGTCCTCAGACAAATCCTGGTTGTGACATTGATATCATTTTAAAATATTGGATTGTTATTCATTGCATTTTGATAAAATATTAAATAATTATTGTATACATAATATAACTACCTACCTAGTTTTACCGGCCGGTAATTTGTGTTAACCCGTTTTTCAATTTTAACCAAATAGTAAATACCTGTTAATCGTAACAAATTATCTTTCAATTATTAAAAAAATAAAACTCACGCCTACATTGAATTAAATACACACTGTTAACTACACAAGTTTAATGTTTTAATGGTAAATTTACTCAAAAATATTTGTTTTTTCCATATACCTCTAATACAATATAAATATTGAAATTTGTGCCACAAGCTCGTGTATAAGACGTACCTAATACATAAATATTTTAGAATATATTAATACGTATTTCAAATATGTTTATTCATAAATTGATGTGCTGTATTAAATTTATGCATATTAATAACGTATTCCTTTTAAAAAATGCATAGGCAATGTAGTACGCACCATAAATTAATGCAGTTATTCCGATTACTGCCTTATCAGGAAATGATATGTAACGAGTAGCAGGCAGCAGCTCATTTTCGCATTTTCACGGACAAATATTATGTAATGTATTTATGTCGCGACTACCAACAACAGTACTATATATTAATATTCAGTAATCAATATTGATTAACTACCTAAATTACATTTTAAACCATGTCATTATTGATTTAATTAGTTGATTACCTTTGTTGCTGCGAAACAAATGGAAATCATTTTTAATTATTCCTTTTATTTGCTTATGATTGAGACGATATTGCTTTATTAGAAGTCTGTGAGCAATTAATAAGGTGCCACATCAATTGGTGTGTTTTGCAATTTAATCTTCGAACTACCTACTGAACATACGTTTTCGGCAACCATATTATAAGGTATAGATAGGTATTCAGTTTTTTAATAGTCCTATGTTTGTATATTTTGGTCGTAGGTTTTCCAGTAGATAAACCATACCTAATTTCCAAATAATTATATTCGTAAACGTTTTATGTCTCGATTGTTTAGAAATTTCCTTAGTGTTACATGTATTTACTTAATGCTTATTTGTATTTTAGTCTTGTTTTGATATGATTTTGATTTTAATGAATGCTGTTAAAATCAGTGGCATGAGGGAGGATATTTTTTAATCAAAATCCATTGGCCGATCTGGGATGGTATGATGCTCGCTCAAGATTGTAGATCAATGTAAGACGGAATAAACTAATAATTAATAAAAATGTAATATGTCTTACTTTATGTACAATCTATGTAAGTGTAGGTTATAGTGTACTACTAGGTATTTCTAGCCATGGACCATGATATGACCAACAAACAGAGAGTTATATTAGGCTTCCAAGTTCTAACTTCTTTAGGTAGCTTCCTAAGTATTTATTAACCTACAATAACCTATTTAGTCAAAATATTTTTTATGCTATTTTTGTAGTGTGAATGAGAGCGATTGATTAAATTATAGAGCTACTAAAACAAGTAATGAAAATTAATTGTTTATAAAGTGGACCAATTCAAAATATTCAGTTACTTGTTTATAATTAAATCATAGTTTTAATTTGAATGAGAAAAAAATCTAAAATTATTCTACACGCTATTGGTTGAAGATATTAAGTTATTGTTTTTTTTTTTTTTTTTTTCATGACACTTTGTACAAAAACTTTATTTTCTGTGTTATGGTTTAATTTTATAAACTATGAGTTATGTAAATACATTAATACAGTTTGATTATTTAAATGATTTTTTTTTCTTGTGTTTTAGTTTACAAATAATGGCCCAAGAAAATGTAGTACATGGACCTCCAATTCCTAATTATTTGTTGAATATTAAATCAAATTTAAGTCAGTACTTTATTCGACTACTCGGTGAACTTAGAAATAATACTGCTGTGGTATGTTAAGTTATATTATTTTACTATTAAATCTATTAAACCAAGTTTGCTGTTATGTTGTTATGTTGTCTGTCATTTCATATTTATGAAAATATATTATTTATTTTATTATACCTATTCTGATTGGCTGTGATAATCATGGTACCATAATATACTAATCATGATATACCAAAAAATTCCAGAGTTGGGCTTGGTTCAACTTTTAGATATATAACAGACAACATAACTGTGAACCCAGCTTTATTTAATTCTTGTTATGTTTGTAAACAAAACTAACAATATTTTTATCCCATGGAACAAATATTGTAGGCTGACATAGAAAATGTGACCTAGTTAATAAGTTTTATTTCCTTATAAAAATAATTAATATAAATTACCATTTTTGTATGTATACTATTTTATTAAAATAAATGTACAAACAAGTTTTATTCATATTTAATAAGATACCGTTAAAGAGTTTTCAAATCAAATAATTTGGTTATATTCATTGAATTTTTGATTAGCTACTATATTCAGCATTTATTATATTAATCTGACTAGGTTTGCTTGGTTGCAGATTTAGAGATTCAAAAATATTTTTAAGAATTTCTTTTTTACTCATCTCCTTCTAATAAGTTCTTCTAATAAGATTAAAAATTTTTTCATTATTAAAGGATTGCCACAGTTGACACATTTGGTAGGGGTCTTATATTTTCATTAAATATTGGTGTGTAAGGTATATTTATCATATTCTAAGATAATCAAAGAGTGTCTCGTATTTTTGATTTGGGTAATTATTCTGTGCAGTGGTTTTGGTGCAATGTACAGGGGAAATATTAATCTCTATTACTCAATATAGTCATTTTTCTAGAAATAAATGCTGTTATAGCTAGGTTTGAATCAGTGAAATATACGTTTGTAGTGTTTGTACTACCACCTTATTATGCTTAACTACTCTGTCCTCCATAATTGAAAAATATCGAAACTATTGTTTTATATAACTAATTTATTATTATTTATGCTTCAATGTCTCATATTATTTTACTCATCTATAATTATTTTTAATAATTGAGTTCTGTAAATTTTAACGCTTATGATGTACAATTATACTAACCAAAAATATGTTTAAATTTTTATATCTCTTTTATAATTATTTACTGTAACTATTTCTTATACTTTTTAATTTTTAGATTGATATGCATGATGGTTCTTCATTTACATTCAGTAATATTTTACATGCAAGTTTTAATATAGCAAGTTACTTAAAGTATGAGTTTGGGGTACAAAAAGGTGATGTTGTTGGAATATTTAGTGAAAACACAATTTGGTATCCATCTCTTGTACTGGCAGTATGGCATATTGGTGGTGTTAGTGCATTATTCAATCCTATGTATAATAATAGTAAGTTTAAAATTAATTAGAATCATTAATGTAGTTACATTTGCCTATGTCATAATTAGTAAATTTATTTATTGTGTATAGTTTATTACATAAGTTTTACTTATGTATTGTCTTATTTATTTTTAACATTATTGTTATTATTACATCAATGTAAGATTACCTATAAATAATATAGTTTTCAATATTTATTTATATTGTTAATGTTAGAACAATTTTTATTAAGTTTTTATAAGCTTACTAAAATATTATAAATAACAATCCAATTTTAATAATTTAATGGATATTTTAATTGTCCTATGACAAACCTTATATTTTGTTATAATTAATATATTTTGAAATTATATGCCATAATCTACTAAAAATGTGTAATTATCAACACTTTAATACTATATTAAAATTTCTGAAATATTATATCACTAATTTAACTTTCACTTTTGTGTTCACCAGAGGAATTAACACATGTGCTAAATATAACTAAACCAAAAATTATGATAACATCAAAAATGGGGTTCAAAATTGTAAGAAATACTGCCAAATCACTGGATTTTATCAAATATGTGTGTCCTATTGAAGTTATTTGCAATACTAGAACGATTGAAGAAAATAATAATTTTGAACCAACTCCATGTGACAATAATCAGACTTGTGTGATATTATTTTCTAGTGGAACTACTGGTTTGCCTAAAGGAGTAGAGTTGTCACATAAATCTATTCTTATCTTGGTTTCTGCCTTAAAGTTAGTATGACTTTTATAACTTATACTTTTATTATTTTATCTATGCGTTATGATGTATATATTATATAATTTAAATATTTTTAATTATATAATGAGTGTATCAGATGATGAAATATAAAACTAATCATGATAAAATAAAAACTCTAAATCAATACAAATAACTCAATAAAAACAAAAATCTATTCTTTTATTATTTCTTATCAATATTTTTTTTTTTTAGATCTTCACTTTTATAAATTTTAAAATATTTCTATTGCATATACTTCATATTTATGAGTAGGTATATAATATGTATATATTTGTATACAAATCTAAGTAATGTTATTTGTACATAGAACATCATAGTTTATACATTAATGCATTTTATATACTATATTTAATGCTAATATGTTTAATTGTATTTATGCTCCAGCTGAGTAATATTATATCTGTGATATTTTGAGTTAATCAAAAAAAAGTGTGATGTATTTATAAAAATATTTGTTATTAGTGCTCATCTTTCAAAGATGGTATGAATAAATAATATCTACTATACTAATTGAGTAATAAATTTGTATTAATAGTTTGCATGTGTCATAGATTTTAATAATACTGAGAGTATAGTGTCATAACTGTGTACTAAGATTTTTGTAGACCTTTATTGATATGTAAAAAAATATTGCACAATAAATTACCTAATTTATGAACTTATGAAAATCTACTTTAAAATTTATTTTTATTTTTACTTTTTAGTGACATTAATAAATTTGTAACTAAGACTGATACCTTGATGGGTCTAATGCCTATGTTCCACGGATATGGATTACTGATAATATGTTTGTGTTTGTCAATTGGCAGCAAGATCATAGTACTTAAATATTTTGACGAAGAATTGTTTTTAAAATCGATTGAAGTTCATAAAGTATATATAAAATTTATAAGTTTTATTTAATTGTCAAACATGTAATTTAATGTTTTTTATTCGCCAAGATTTCAATTTTACATGCTGTACCACCACTGATGATATTTCTTGCTAAACATCCTTTAGTAGAAAAATATAATTTATCATGCGTGAATGTTATATATTCTGGTGCTGCTCCATTATCTTTAAACATTGAAAATGAAGTAATCAATAAAATAGGTAAAGGTAAACCATTAAAAGTGTTTCAAGGTTATGGAATGACTGAATTAACTATGGTATCAACATTACCTGACCAAAATGAATTTGAACATACTAACGGTTCTGTCGGAAAATTGATTAGTGGCATGTCAGGAAAAGTTAGTTGTTAATATAATTATTGTAGTTATCAAAAATTAAAATTAACTAAAATTGGCATTAATTTTGTAAAAATTTTAGGTAATTGATTTAGACAATGGAAAATCATTAGGAGTAAACGAAAGTGGTGAACTATGTTTCAAAGGACCCATGGTCATGAATGGTTATTATAAAAACCCCAAAGAAACAGCATCAATAATTGATGCTGAAGGATGGCTCCATACAGGGGATATTGGATACTATGATAAAAATCATAATTTTTTTATCATTGATAGAATCAAAGAACTTATCAAATATAAAGGATATCAGGTAAATTCAGTTAAATTATTCTAACATTTGTTTCTGTATTCATGTTTTAATATTTCTTTTACCTCCAGGTGGCGCCTGCAGAATTAGAAGCATTGTTATTAACACATCCCGAAATTAAAGATGTAGCAGTTATTGGACTTCCAAATCTAGAAGCCGGGGAACTCCCGATGGCGTTTGTAGTTAAATCTCTAAATTCGACTATCAATGAGAAAGATATTGTACAATTTGTTCACAGTTGAGTAAACATATTTGTTTTATAAAATTTATTATTTTATTAATTAAATTTACTTATGTTATGTTATTATTTATTAGAAAATGTTTCAGCACAAAAGCGTCTTAGAGGAGGTGTTCGATTTGTGAATAGTATTCCCAAAAATCCAAGTGGTAAAATATTACGTAGAGTACTTAAAAACTTATATTATCAATCAAAATTATAAATATAGTTCTAATTATTATAGGACACTTTGTGTACTATGTTAAAGTAAAACCTTACAAATTTATATGTAGATAAATCATTGTATTTTAGTTTTTAATTATTATTTTAATAATTTCAGGTGATTATATTAAGTTTTTTGCTAGTTATTTATAGAATTATTATTAATAAGAGCCCATTAATTATATTTAAGATTGTTTAAATATGTGATGCTAAATTACAATTAGAATATTATTTTTTATCATACATCATATAGAAAATATAGTGTTGAAGTGCTACATAAGATTATCTAATAACAACCTTATAAATATATATGCAATGTTCCAAAAGATAAAACACCAGTTCTGCATAATTTTTATGTCAGTACGTGAGAGATATGTACTACCAAACGAAAATCAGTTGCTCCTGGTATATTGTATTTTGGAACGCAATAAATACAAATTAAATAAGTAAAACTATTACAGAATTATTATTATAAAATTATTGATATTGTTGTAAAAAATGTGTGTCAAATTAAATGTTAGATTAGATTTTTACTATTTAATAACTCGTTTTAAAATTTAATACATTTTTTAATAAATAAAAATTATGCTTGGATACAGTTTATAAAAATATTTATACCTAATATAACTATTGCATTACTTTTTTTTATGATATTAATTTTTTTGTAATTTCAATATACATTGAATATAAATAATATTGATTACATTTTAGTCATTTATTTAGTATATTATTATATTAATAGTGAAATTGTTAAATTAAAATACATTTTTTTTATTAAATACACAATAGATTTTTGTATGGATTCCTTTACTCAATAATTTTTAATTTCTCAGTTTAAACTTGACCTGTTGAAGGAGGACAAATTAGAAAATTTACCTCAAGTGTCCAAATTTTGGTTATTTAAAGGGGATAGCAGGCACTGCTGTAATATACTGTAATATTATATTAATATATATATTTATTTATATATTTTTTTTTAATTTGCGGTAAGAATTTGTTTAAGTTCTTATTTAAACTTTTTGCCATTTGGTAAATTGTCTCACCATACCTTTTAAGTCTAAATGGTATACAGTAACAATAATATGGTCTTAGAATATAGCCATGTATAATAAAGCCATATGAAAAGTTTAAAAAAACAAATAAAATATGAGTGTTTATATAAGAAAATCAATCTAATTTAAGCCTGTCCATACATTTGCATTGCATTAAGAATAATACTATGTACTCCAACTACAAATTGTTCAGCTGAACGGCCTTTCTCTATACTCAAAAGAGTTGTTAAAAGCTGTTTGAGATCAACAATGAAAGAAGAAAAAGTAAATTCATAGGCTGTTCTTAATATAGAATCAGACATTATAAAGCAACTAGACTACAAAAATACAAAAATATCAAAGATTATTAATCATTATAATTATTAATAATCAACATATGTCTAATACACAAGTAAAAATTAAAAAAATATGTATAATAATGATTTTTGTTATTTTTAAAACATAATATAATGTTGTACATTTTAACAATAATTTAAAAAAATGTAATACCATTATCCATGAAATGAACAAATTATAACTAAAAAATTACATAAAAAAACTTAAAAAGGGATCCATGTGGGTGGGAGTACAAATATAGTTGACCCAGGGCGCAAATACGGATAAATTTAACCCTGGTTCAAACATTAAACAAGGTTGAAGGTATCAATTAACACTACTTGGGAATGAAAGGAGCTAAATTAATGATATACTGAAGTTACAAATTTAGTAAATTATTCAGCTAGGAAAATTATAAATAATATTGATGAAAAAAAGTAGTAAATACATGTTTCTTAAACAAAATAAAAAAACTAATAACTTCAGAATTATCAATTAAAAAATATATAATTAACATGTTCATGGCTAGGGGGTAAATTTGGGAAGACTAAAATAAACAATGGTATAAAATGGATCTTAAAATTAAGTATTAACTAATTATATTTTATAGTTACATAATAACAAAATGAATATTTTAGTCAAACCATCTAATGAACGCATTAAATTATTACATGATTTATTTTATTTTTTATTATTGAATAAATAAACAAAATTAGAAATAAACTCAAAAACATATTTATAACAAACAAAACAAAATTAAAATAATAATAAAATTAAAATGACAACAAATGAATGACAAGAGGTTATCAATTTATAAAATTTAAGTTCCAAAGAGTGAATATAGAAAAAAAAAACAGTACAATACACGTTATTAATAAATTATATTCAATGTCGCATTAAGCTAAACTGCTGCTCTACATTTTTTTTTTTTTTTAATAAATGATTTTCACCTCTCTATCTAATGCTAACATAAACATAGTAGAAATATACTTGAATATGTTTTTTCATTAGTTTTAAAACAGTTATTTATTAATAACCTATACAATTAATTTATACTTAAAACTATTTTTAAAATACTTTATTTATTAAATATTCATATAATTAATAAAGAATTATAATTAAAGACTAAAAAGAGTAAATTAAAATACATTATTATTAAACTTGTATAATTAATTTTTGCCTTAATTTCAGAATTAATATTCATACATACCAATCATACAAATAATTTTATTAAAAGGTAAACCATAAATACGAATGTCACAAACACAACATATGTCTGTTGAAATTACATTGAGACTGATGAAATATAATAAAATACGTTATTTTATGATTTTATATTGAACATTTGAACATTTAAAAATAAACCATTGTCTATTCATAACTATCAAATAATAATTAGTAAATCATACATCTAATTTGTTGTGATTGGACCACAAACTAAAAGTTATAAAAAACACAATCAACACATCTGTGATGTATTTAGTTATTTCGAGTCGTAGGTACTTTACTGATCATTGATACTTTCATGCAGTGGAGGTTCAAGTATATACATATCATTTTCAAAGTTGATGCAATTAATGAGTATATCATAAACTTCCCGTGTAGTTTGTTGTTTTTCTATAAACATTTTATAGTTAACACCATCTCCTGAATGTTGGACCTTTAAGTTCTTCTTTTTACAAAAGCTAATAAAAGAAATAAATTATATTTTAACAAGCAAACATAAACTAATATATTTTTAGAATTTACGTTTGAATATAAGTACGCTGACTAGGTGGGAAGTTTATTGCAAATGTAATTCTTGAATTTGAAGTGCTTAAAAACTCCGTTATGCGTTTCTTAACTTCTGTTAGTACATATATGTCTTGAGGTGTACGTTTTGTAGCACCCAATCCAGCTCTTTTTTTAAGTGGAACAACTCTGTATAAATAGCTTATATTAACAAAGAGATAAATTGAACTTGTTATTATTATTATTTTTATTTTATTTGACAATATATAAATCGGCAAAACTTAGTTTTTTATTTTTACAAAATATTTAAAAATATATCAATTGGAGTACTGTATTAATTTAAATGAATTTCAGCCAATAGCCTATGTATCAATTTTTATTCTAAAATTTAAAAAAAAGATTTTAGATTAAGTTATTAAAATATTTTAAGACTGATGTTATAATAAAAAACATGTGTCAAACAAATTATAAAAACATAGTTTAAATTAATAACTTACATTATTGCTGATTTAATTCCTTGATTATTCTTTCCTAATCCATCACCTTCTTTCCAACCCATTCTTTTCAAAATCTTAAAACCAAAATTATTACTTGAAATTGTATTATGATGCTTAGTAAAATTTGGAACTTTTTCACTTGAATCATCAAAAAGATCTGTCCATAAAATGTGTGTATCATTTTTTTTTATCTAATAAATAAATTATTTATGAGAATAAACTATAAAATAGGTGCAATGAATAATAATAATAAACTTTAGTAATAAATAATATTATATTACCGTAACAGTAAAGCACATTTCCTTCAATATTTTAAAGGCAATACTTGTAACATTCTTTATAGCCTCTTGTCTTGTTGTTCCAGCACCAACTGCTATCAACTTCCATTGTAGGTACAATTTAGCTTGACTAAATATGATAAAAATACAATGTAACTAACTCAAGGTGATATTTTAATGGTAAAAAAATTAAAATCATATTCTTTAAATTACAATTAGAATAAAAAGAAATACTTGTAAAGTCATGTTAAAGCTATCTGACATTTTATAAAAACAAGAAAAATTTAAAAGAAATTGTAACTACATAAATTATTTCAACCTAATCATTATTGCCATTCTTGTTGATAACAATATCTAACTAAATAGATACCTAACACCCAAGTAAACTGGTTATATCTGAAGTTTCATTTAAAGATACACTTTAAAAACAACAAGCCCTACACCTCTATACTTAATACCAATTCTCATTGGTGAATTATATTTATAGATTTTATAAAATAAAAAAAATTGAATTAAAAATATTATTTTAAATATCAACATTTTTAAAAAATTATTTTAATTTTAGAAACATCATAATATCAATACCAAAATTATTAGGACATTAATAATAAAAATATTGTTTAATATATAAAGATTACTTCTTAAATATTTAAAATTATTATTTGAAAGAATTAAACAATAATGAAATCAAATACATATATTATAAAAAAAAACCTGAGTTTATCACAATTATTTTGTATTGTTAAACTGAGATGTGATTGAATGTTATTTTAAATAACACAACTTAGCTTTTAATAATCTTAACAATTAAATTTGTTAACACTAAGATTCAACCACTTTTAACCACTAAAAATCATATTTGCTCATAATCAAATCCTAAGTTTACTAGTAGAAATCAAATAAGAATTACTTGTGTTTAAAATCTAATTCTTCATGTTCTATTTCTAGCTTTGTATTTTGACTAAAATAACATGATCTTTTGATAACTTTATGATGATTAAAATCATTTTTTGGAATCTTCAACATAAAACCTGGTATTAAACAGTTAAAATCAAATGGTGTTGTATATCTCATTTTATTTTTAGGCGGTTGATTGATATTTAACTTAAATGTAACGGCTTGAACATTTTCTAAAATTAATCAAAAACTATAATTAAATCTACAATTGTTCAAAAAAAAATTAATAAAATTCATAATAAATACCAATAGCTTTAACATAATTTACATATGTCGTGTTCGTTATCTGTTGATTTTCATACATTTTTTCTCTCAAATTATTAACAAAACTTTTAGATAGGTCTCCAATAAGATCCATGGTTGGCTTTGGATACCTTGAAAAATCCAAGAACTTTTTTATGTTTTAAACTCGCTTTTAAGTTATAATCATATTTAAACAAATTACTCACCTACATTTCATAAATACAACAAAAATAAAAATATGAGAATAAGTCACTAATCGATCTTTAGGAAATTTATTTTTATTGGCAATCAAAAATTCCCGCCTAAATTTCCAATGATCTTCATTTTCAAGTACATTCTTGTATAGATCAACATTCCATGATGTGTTGAAACTCATTATTATACAGTTATCTTTTTAAATACCTATACATAAAAAAAAACATATTGTAAAAATGAATGTTAATATTTTAAAAAAAAAAAAAAATGTTTAGACATTCAGGTATAAGTTATTTTAATAATTTATTTTGAGAAAACAATAATGTTTATCCTGAAAAATGTATATATTATACTAAATCAAATCATCATAATAGTACAAAATTAATTATAGGTACTTCCATTGTTTGCATAAATACTACAAATATGGTTTTGTTTATGTATAAGTAGTTACCTATGCATAATATTATTTTTTAAATAGTTATAAAGACATTTTATAAGCCATTAAAATGTATTTCTGATGGAACAAATAAATTGTTAACAAATCATAAAGAATTTAATCCTGATATTGTTTAATGTAATAGTCACAGACATATTGTTTACTTAATATTGTTATATCCCTGTATGGTAAATAGGTATTAGATGCATAACTTAGAAAGTGTACTTTTGTATACTTAATCACAAGAACTTTTGCAATTCAATAGTAGGCTGGATAAATTGATATTACTCATATACAATTTGAATATATGGTTTATACAATTGAAAAATAAAACAAATATATTAATTAAACCTGAGTTTTTATTTACAATAAGTAAATAATTATACCTAATTATAATTGTGCATATAAGTGGTATTCGGTATAAATTAATAATATTATTTAAAAATCAAAAACTATGATCATATAAGATTCACAATTAATATGTTATTATTATACTCCTATTTCCAGGTATTTTTTTTTTTTTTTGTTTATTAAATGTTTTTATTCAATCTGTTTCAAAAGGAACAATAAGAACAATTGAGGAAGAAAATATAAAAAAATAAATAAATAAATAAAAATAACAGGTAACATCAGAGCGTAAAGGTCTCCCAGTGGAGGTACTACAAGAGTATTAAAATTTAGCTAGTCAGTAGGTTTTTACACCATTTGCGCTTTAGCCATTTGGGGAGGATTTCCAGGGATAATCAAGGAAGAGATGTAGTGTATGAGTGGGTTTCTATGGTTTAGAAGACGGTTGTAGAATCTTTTATAGTGTGTTTTAGCCACGTCTGCCACAAGGGGTATGGTGAGGTAGGTGCCAGGTATTTAAAATTTTAATGTAATTTAAAATATTAGATAATATACAAATTGAAGATATATTATGATAAAATTATATAGCTAAGTGCAAAATCTAATTTCTATTTAAATTTACAATTACAAACTCTAGCACCAAATAAAAAATCAATGCCAATAGGTTTGCATATTCCAACATATTTGTTGGTTAATGATAATGTATGTATAAATTTTGTACAAATATAACATTTTCATGGCTACCAAACTCTTAAGGTGACAAAACAGTTTCAAACGTCTAAACTAACATATTCTATCAATGGATATTGAAATAATAAATCCTGACCAATAATATTAATATAACAAACATATTATAGAAATATGAAAATAAAATGTAATTAAAATGCCCAATAAAGTTTTGTTAGTATTTTAAAATTGTTTATGTAAAACTAAAGGTGGGCATTAACTAGTTAAAAAGTTAAATTTTTTTTAACTTTTTAACTTAACTAGTCAGTTTATTTTCTAATCAACTTGTGAACTTAAGAGGTTTAATTGAAAATTAAAATAACTTATCTTTTTGAAGTTGACATTAGACATAATTTAATACAATAAAATGATGAACTATAAATTGTATTGTTTTAAAGTTATATAACCTTCATTTGCTATAATATATAAAATAATAACATTTGTTAAATTATTAATTTGAGATGTGTATAGTTTAAATAAATAAATAATATATTATGTAACGTAAAAGGGTATTTACACTATACAATGTACACTATGATAAAAGTTCAATAAAATTACTTTTTATAATTTAATTAATTGGAAAGGCATTAATATATAGACATTCTTTGTGTAATTTACATACTTATTTAAAAAAATGAATTAACTTTGTTTAAACTAAGTTAATATTTTTTTCTATATTAAATTTTAACTTATTTAGTCAAATTTATAATTTGTTAACGGTTAACTTATAACTTATCGATCTTGTGTTCTTTTAACTCAACTTAAGTTAAATATTTTCATTAACTTACCCACCTTTCTGTATAACCTAACCTTAACGGGAGGTACGTTAGGGGCGGTGGGCCATCTCCCGAAAACAACACTGCCAAATTCGTGTCTCATTCACATCATCACTTGCCATTGTTCGTTAGGACGATGTTATGGTATTAATTATAGCATAAATTAACAATTAAGACACCTTAAGTCTTAATTCGCGCCGTTCGCGGTATACGTCCGATCGTTTGCATTTAAAGAGGCGAGTGCCGAGTGTCGAGTGGTAATCACGATTTAAATTATTTAATTAATTTTAACTTTTAAGTCATGATTGCACTGCGCATGCTCGAGTGCTCGATGGAGCAACGTTAACAACGTTACCGCGAACGGTCACTCATGGCAGTATCAAACGTTCCGTAAGCTCCTAAGTCCGACCATTGTAATAATAATATTAATTTAAAATTATAAATTACTTATCACACAAACGTTCCAATTTGTTTTACTGTAGACGATAGACATATAAATATTAATATTTTCCATAGACCAGCTTTCCCTAGCAGGAGGTACTTATGTTACGTTTATACTTCGATATTCAAAACACGTTTCGCGCGGGAACCGATACCAACTCAGTATACATTTATTACAGTAGAACGATCAAATTTGCAGAATTCATATAATATATGAGAATTTTATTTTTATTTTTTCAATTGTGTAATATAATTCTTGTTAAACTATTGATCTGTAAAAATTGAATAATTTTTTTTATTTAACTGTATTTACAATAGATTACTGAGTTATTGTATTAAAAAGAAATAATAGAATGTACTTAGTAAAAACATGTGATTTTTGTCTTCCTTGCAAAAAAATATAAGGCTTTCCTCGATTGTATTTGTAATTGCTATAATAATTAAATTAAAATAATTTGTGTGAGCATAATATATATTGTGCAAATAAGAATCTCCTGAGAAAAACAGATAACATATTATGTAAACAAAGAACGGGAGAAAAACACAAAAACGTATTAAAGTAAACAAACCCCACCAAGCACAAAATCAATACATTGGTGCTAATATAAAATGATGATAAAAGCATGATAAAGACGAGGAAAAAAAAAGCACAAAAAGATGATGAAAATATATAAGGGAAAAAATGTTTATTTAATTTACATTTTGTTTTTCTTGATATTTTATGATTATGACAACTATAGAGGTTTACAATTTTATAAGAGATTGAGCAATCGTTACAACAGAAAAAATCACAAAAAAATGTACAAAAAATTAATAAAAAATACATTACACACATCCATTCATATTTATTGACGCTTCAAAATTTAAAACTGCATTTAATACAAAAAAAAAAGTTAGAATTGGATACAAGTGGTAGAATCAGTGACACAACTAGGGGGGGTACAAAAGAGTCTTCAATACCCCTTATTTTTTTATACCTTATTGTAATTGTTTTAATGAAATACCATAGCTTTGTGAGACATTAATACCCCACGTTTTAGAGGTCTAGTGCACCTATGGGTAGAATTAAATAAAAAAAGATAAATTTTTGACATAAATCTACATTGATTTTTCATTCAAATACTTTCAGAAACTATTTTATTAATAATTTTATTTTTTTTTTGATTCGATATTCTCGATAACTTTAAGTAAATCTGAAAATAGAACATAATATTTTGTGACTTACACAAATACTTAACTACACAATAGATAATATCTATTTTACCATGCTCAAAACAATTTTTCGCAATTAATCGTTAAATATTTTAACTAATACATTTTGATTAATTATTATATTCATACACAATTATGGCAATTGTTAAAATAATATGCAAAATAACATTTTAAATTTGAATTCTCTGCACTACAAAAATTATTAGGCAAACACTCTGTTATGCTTTACTATATCCATGTCCTATATTTACGACGGATACGTTGCAAATGTTGAAGTTTCAAACCCTGATTACCATTGTTGCGTTTTTTTTTTTAAATTATTCTAAGCGCTGAAAAATGTAGATCATCAAATCACAATAATAACGCTATTAGATTTTATTTTTTACACATAATAATTATTGCTATAGATATTTAAATCCGTTCGGTAATCGGTACGCTGTCACTCCGAATAAACCGCATCCGACCACGGTGAATCAATTTTCCTACAGTCGCGACTAGGTCAATTTATTGTAAGCAATGTTAGCTGATTAATATTATTTATTATTTAATATTATATAATATTTTTTACTTGTTGGACTAACCTTCATACGGATAATAAATATACGGTCGAGCAACACCGCTGCAATTAAAACGATTATTGTTATATGACGTCAATAGACCTAAATTCTCGCTCACGCAATACTTAGACGAAAGCGTATTTAATATTTTCATCTTTGAACTTAAATTGATTTTAATTTAATGTTTCTTAATAAACGTTTTTATTTTTAATGAAAGTATACCTATACTATGAGAATTTGTAATTAATTAAATAAATAGTAGTTAATCCACTAATTAACATTCAAAAATAATTGTTCAATCATTTTAATAATAACTTAGGAGTAATGTTTAGATTCTGGAGATTTTTCTAGCATAACAATTATTTCCTGGTTCTAGATTGTTATTCTTTTACTATATTTAATTACGTATTTTAACATATAAATATTATGGATATCAATGAAAGTAATGATTTAGAACTGATATATTTAAAATTAACTGAATTTATTTAGCTTGGCAGATTTTATTTTACTAAATACATTAACATAATTTATAATACAAACATTTAATAATAATAATGTATTTGAAACAAATTATCAAAAATAAGATGAAATTTACAAGTTCAAACTTTAATCTTACAAATACAATCTCTATAAATTAATAATTTTACAAATAAAAGTATAATAAATACCTATTTACATCATTTAAATTATATATATATATCATATTTACACTTTACATTAATTAATTAAGAATCAGGAACATTAATATAAGTAAAAATATTATAATGAGTTTAAATACTCTATTTTTAATATACAATCCTTACAATTAAGTTATTATTTTTCATTTTTGTTGATTTTCTATCTGTGCTTGATGTTTTACCTTCAGATCTTTCAAGCTATAGATTATCATTCAGTTTAAATTCTAATGTAAAGTCCTTTGGAATAACGCTTTAATTAAATCTTCAGGCATCACATTTTTATTAATTTAGTTAATCTTTAACAATATTTGATTCGTATCAATTTTTCTTGTGAAACTTTAAAGAGCAATGCGTAACC